ACTCTTCTAATACACATTGCCGTTACTTTAAACAGCCAGCGCTACATCTCCGAGGTGTTAGAGCCAATTGTCCTTGCTTACCTTCAGGGCTTGCCCACAGCCATATTTCAACAGGATAATGCACCACCACACGTGGCAAGCATTGTCCAAAAGATCTTCGTCAATCGTCAAATTGAATTGCTTCCCTGGCCGGCTCGCTCTCCGGATCTTTCGCCAATAGAAAAAATGTGGTTCATGGTTGCTAAACGATTGACCCAGATTACATCCCAAGCTGCCACACCAGATCAACTTTGGAAACGTGTGGAAGCTGCTTGGTCTGCTGCACACCAAGAACACATCCAAAGTCTCTTTGAATCAATGCCGAGGCGTGTGGCAGCGGTAATCTCCAACAATGGCGGCTACTCTGGCTACTGATTCTGGAAGGAGCCACACTTAACAGAAGTCTAAAAAATTTAATCATTTGATACTTGGTCAACATGTTATCTACTAAATAAATTTTGTTGTGATATCTCTTGTCTTTCTTGGTGTTGCAATTTGGGTGGCCAGCAGTGTATATTTACAAGGTATTTAATACAAGTCTTATGATTCAGATATATACGATGGCTGCATGGGCGTTTTCGTGGTTTTCCCCATGTGTAACGTGTATACGAGCCAGTTTCCCTTAGAAAGTCCTCCACGAAAGGCATCCCTCCCTTTAGGCAGATGGCCCTCGTGTGCTTTGCCATAATTAAATACACCACCACACCACCAGATATATACGAAGACGGGCTATCATTTCGACTAAATGTTAGACGCGTCACTCGTTCAACTAACTACTTCTTCTCTCTTCCGCCAAACGGAGTCCGTGGTTTCTGCGTTATTAATATACAAACGCGACAATCTCTTTAAATATCCACTCTAGATTATTAGAAAGAAATTGGAAATTTATTGGAAAAGAATACAATATACAACAAAAATACATATGAAATTCTCATTTTGTGTACACACAGTATTTGTGTTCATTAAATAAATCTATGCTTTCTAGGACTTAACTTCTTAAAGGTACACGGTTTTTACTTAGACGTCAAAAATAATGCGCTACGTACCGTTAATGAAAACACACTGATGTTTCAGTTGGATGAAAAGGAAGTTAGTTGCTATAGGAAAACTGCTCGCGATAATAATTCTAGCCATGTTATCGGAATGCACCGTAAGTCGTATGGCAAAAGCTGCGCGGGATGCCTTAGTGAATCAAAAGAAAATATGCCGGTTATATTCTTCAACATAAGTGAAAGGTCCCTCATTTTTACGAAAGAAGAGTTCCCCGCGATTCAAGTAACACGCGAAGTTCTATCAATCAAATACAGACTCAAACTGAATTAAAAGATATAACTTTAAGTATAGAGTTAAATTCTAATCAAATTCAAATTGCAAGTTATTTCATAGAAACGTTTAACCCTCTGAGCGGCCCGGGATTTTGGATCTGTCATTATTTAAAGAGCCTTTATTAGCTAAATATGTATATTTACCTATTTTAGTCTCTATTTTAATAAACTTACATGCATTAAGATGACATTTATATTATTAATGAAAGTAAAAAAGCAAAATATCTTAAAGTTAATATATAACAAGTGGCAAAACATTTCACGGCGCAAGTCATCTTCTCTACTTCATCTAGTGAACGTAGTCGCACCATCCACTTGTTGAGCAACATCTTCGGTGGCTTCTTTTCGCAAAACAAGAGGAAGTCGGAAACCTTTTGAAGGCGTTGCAGTATAATGGTATTATAGACTTCATCTCATTCTTGGGCACCCACCTGTCTTATTAGTTCGGAAGAAAAATGCCTCTACGCGATTCTGTGTTGACTACAGATACCCAAATTAGCCTAAAAGCGATGTCATCTTAGACATGCTAACAGAAAATAGATGGCTTTTTTGCTTTGGATTTGTAAGGTGGCTATTGGTAAACGGATAAATGGAGTTCAAAGATCGTGAGAAGACTGCATTTGTTACCGGTCAGTGATTCTATAGTTTAATGACTTTTCGACTGTGTGAAGCTCCAGCGATATTTGAGCGCTTAGTGGAGACAGTTTTGAAACGACTGACTGCCATGCGAAGCTATACCTTAAAAACATTACTTATAGTCAGTTCTTCATCAGGTCTGAGAGACTGCGGTGAAGAGATAGTTAGCTGAACTCTGTTTTGGTTTTTATTCTGTGAGTGATTTCGGAAACTGATATTTCTGTGTGCGTTGACTTGCTCAAAATCCAGATAATTTTTTCTCGAGCTATTTATAGTTGTTTACTTTGATGTGTGCCGTCATTAAATATAGTATATTGTAAATTTTTACGTGGTGATCTGGATTCATTTTTAAGAGACATCCACGAACCCGCAGCTTGCAACAACGTATTACATAACTGAAGCATACGTTGAAATAAAATATTTAAGCCTGAACATCAAACACTGGGATAAATTCCATCAAAGTTTTGCGGGATATGTGTTCAAAATTTACAAACAAACAATATACTCCTGAAAGCATATTTTTTGGACCTGAAATTTCAAAAATTTATGAAAATTGTTATTAAAAACAAAAATAAATACATTTAAATGAATTAAGATATTTCTGATTTCTCAATTCCTAACCAATGAAGCTATATAAAATATCATTATTGCTAAAATATTTCATTTTTCAGCACAAATATATCTGTTGCATGCAGACAATAACAGACTGCATGCAGCAGATAACAGACTGCATGCAGCAGATACAGACTGCATGCAGCAGATAATAGACAATAACAGACTGCATCAATTAACAGAACATTTTAAAACTTTGTTCAAATAATGCAGATTTTGAGATTCAGTATAATAACAAATTTCTGCAGCCTGGAGCAAGGCGACTTACAGATAGGAGAACTGAAAATGATAGACACCCAACAGGAGGATTCGTTTCGAAACTCCCTTGATTTCTAGAATTATATAACCTTTTAAACATTCTTGGCATCAGCAGAAAAATGTACTTTATTTTTCATACATCTGATAATTTGCCTCAAGTCATTATTTTATTTAACATTTTTAGTTTCCAATTAAAGGATGTATATAAAAGCCATAATTAAAGGATGTATATAAAGCCTTTTTTTTTTTTTTTTTTTTTTTTTTTTTTTTTTTTTTTTTTACTATGAAAAATTTATGGTAGGCAATCTGATTCTCCGATAATGCCCAGATAGTAAGAACCTGAGTTGCAGCTAGAACTCGAAAACAATACAGCACATTTTACAAAGGAATTTTCTATACTAGTCAAACACTGGCGAATTATTCTAGTACTTCATTTATGCCGTTCCATATTTATTTAGCAGTCATTTTCCAAACGAGAAACAAACTATTTATTGCTCCTTCTTATTTCTGAAGTGCACCAAGATGAAAAAGTACTCAGAAGAAAGATTAAAATATTAAAAAAAGAACTTTTTATTCACTTGTTACTTAACATAAAACCTACATAATGCACACACTTTCCTTTCAATATTAACAATATATTTTCATTAGCATTCAATAATTTTTTCATTAGCGGAATGAAATTTGAAAAGACCGAAAAAGATTAGCAACAATCTTGCTGAAGAATTAAAGTTACAAACAAGGCAAAATATACTTCCAGTTTCCATTGTAAGATATTTTCTACCTCCTTAAAAAGCCGTGCCTTCGTGGTGAAATTAGAAGCATGTTCGACTATCAGAAGGGAGGTCCGGAGTTCGAATCCCCAGGAGGATAACGTACATTTTCTATGTTTCCTGTTATCGTAAAAATCCTAACGACTCTACAGGTTAAAGCAGCAATTAAATTACAGCAACTTTTAAAGTGAAATGCCCTGATTTTAGAATTCGTTTAATCGTTTCTGGATACGTTTCTGGATACGTATTCGTTTAATCGCACGATAATTCCACACTGAACTAAGAACGGAGCCTGTTGACATTACACTTAGAGAAAACCGCGAAAACGCTCATACAGTTAGCTACTTTACTGAGGTACGAACCCGGTTATGTTAGGTTATTTGAATATCACAAAGCCAAGAGGGCTATTTTCGTAAGAGGAGGGATGTCTTCATGGAGGACTTTCTAAGTGAAACTGATTAGTATTTCAATTACACACGGGGAAAAACACGAAAACGAACTATGCAGCTAGCCCAGTCGCCTGGGATCGAACCCAAGCTAGGTCGAAGTACCAGTATTGAGCGGTTTTAGCCGCTCGGCCACTGGTTCGGAGATACGAACCCGGTTTGAACTACTTATCTTCTGCGATGTTATCCACTTGACTGCTGATAGACCGCAGTATTTTAAGAGTTACTGGACACAATATATTCAGCTAGCTGATTCCCAATTAATTGGGAACAACTAATTCAATAGAACAGTAAGTGCTGGAGAATGCGAAATCATGTTTGAGAAAAAAAAACTAGTATATAAGGTGTCACACATACACCCCCCCCAAAAAAAAACGAGACTGGTCCAATAAATCATTGTACTTACAGAATCACAGTTCTGGAATGAAGGTTTTGGAAGGCGCTTCAGGAGATTCTCCGTTTTTGCCTGAACCTCTTCAGCTGAGGTAAAATGGTTTCCCTTCAAGTAAGATTTAACTTTAGGAAATAAAACAAAAAGTCTCATGGAGCCAAATCAGGTGAATAAGGAGGATGCTCCATCACTTTTTGCTGGTCAGAAACTGCTTGACAGATAGGGCTGTGTGAGCGGGTGCATTGTCCTGGTGCAACAGCCATCCATCAGACAACAACTGCGGCCATTTTTGCGGCCAACTGTAGCGTGTTGATTAACAGTCTGACCACTGAGAACGCATTCAATCATGACAAACGTGCTGGGCGCCCTCTTGTGCGCTCATCACGTTCATCATCTTCCACACTGTCCCTTCCCCCTGAAAACCACTTATGCCATTCAAACACACGTGCATGAGACAAAATTTCATCTCCATAAGCCTCATTTAACCTTTCAAATGTTTCCTCCGTGGCTGATTTCTTAAATTTCAAAAGGAACTTGATGTTGATTCGTTGTTCGGTTTCTACGCTAGACGTTTTTCCGGCAGAATGCAGTTGCACGTGTTCACTCACTTGCTGTACTCCCCACTGACGTGGTCGGTTAAGTCGAAACTGGCCGCATGGATAGAGGGAGGTGTGGAGCATAACGTCACCAAAACAGTTGTTGCCAACTCCACTCTGTTTTCAAGCTACACACTTAAGTAATTTTTTTTTTTTTTTTTTTGTGTGTGTGTGTGTGTCAGACCTCGCAAGTTTGGAACTGCCAATAGTTCATTGTTAAGATTTACGATATTTCAATTGATACTTCTACCTATCTAAGTGCGCAGTTAAATTGAGCTTCAACATCGCCGAATTTACGGTATGACTTGCTAGATATTCAAAATTGAATTTAAATATTAAATTTCTCTTCTTCGACTATGAATATATTATGTTTTTTATTTATTATAGTAACTTATATGCGATTACAAATTTCGCCAGTGGGAAACTAAAATTATAACATTGCTATTATAATTTTACAAATATGATATTTTGTATAAGTATCATAAAAACAATGTAAATTAGTCATATATGCCTTTTAATAAATAATCAAACTAAAAGATTTTCATTTTTAAAAGCCTTGTAATTTTTATTTGTATTTAACTAATGATGGTAATTAAGACATCTGGAATAATTCATAATTACTGGAATTACATAGAATATTTTACAAGGTAATGTAGGTAACGATATTTAAGGAACAATTTAATATTTCTATTAATACACGCTTGCTTTAATAATATCTGTAGAATACCTTATTTTTCTGCAGAAATTTTAGTTAATTTTAGTTAAAAATTAGTGAGGATTACTCACTAAGGGGAAGATGTCATATAATTCGATTCGATTCGTTTAGGACTGGTAAAGACGCTGAACACTGGTAGTTCGGTCCGAGGTTCGAATCCCGCGAACGGGCTGGCTGCATGGGCGTTTTCGTGGTTTTCCCCATGTGTAACGTGTATACGAGCCAGTTTCCCTTAGAAAGTCCTCCACGAAAGGCATCCCTCCCCTTAGGCAGATAGCCCTAGTGTGCTTTGCCATAATTAAATACACCACCGTTTAGGACTGCGAGGGAATGTCAATGTTTTTCCTTAAAATTTTAAAATTTATTATAATACCTAGATTTCTTCGTTTATTTCAGAAAGTTTTACCAAAAATTATGCTTCTAAGGACATCACTGATCATTTTACTCATTTCGTGGCTTGCAGAGAGTGCTTGTCCTGCCCCAGAAAAAATTTATCCTTTTTGCACATGTCGCGAAGAAAACGAACAGAGTTCAATGATCTGCAGAAATATGCAGAGTTTTGAAGATCTCCTCCTTCCAATTCAAGCAACAGTAAGGACAGACATGTTCTCTCTTCATATAATCAATTCCTCGCTTCTGTATATACCTAATGGAATTTTCCAGGAAACGAATTTCAAAGAAGTAAGTGTTTATTTTATTTTTAATTATGCTTTAATGTAATAGTTAACGCTTATTCGAAAACAAGAATTCTGCCTTCGACTTGCATTATTCAATACCAATCTATTTATTTTCTAATAGTAAATCGTATTAAGAGTCAGTAAAAAACGTGTATTACTGTGAAATTGTGCAAATTTAAAATATTTAAATCCCAAAGCAAAAGCAAGTGTCGTGAAATTTAATTTCGTTTTAATTCTTATTTCTGATGAAATATAGTATATTTTGATAAACCATATACAAGACGGTCATTAAAAAATTTCGCGATATATGAAACCCTAGCAGCCTATCGCAATGAAATTTCAGAAATTGTTATTTGAAGGTATTCGCTCAAGATTATGGTGATTTAAAAAAATATAGCCCCTCCCGGTTACGGTTACAGTGCAAAATTAAAAACTTTCAAATGGCAGCACACATGTCTTTCTTGCGCAAATTAATCAGCACATAGACAAACCATAAATGGCGTTAGAACGATACACGTATGACGAAAATTCCCAATGTCTGCAAAAACGTTCATCATAAAGGACCAATAACAACACAAGAGAGGACAGGGAAATTTTTTTATTGGAATTATAAGTTTACAAGCAGACGGTGACGCATTGCATGCCGGAGGACAATGCCGAAGGAATTATGCAGGAGGAATCTGTATAACCTTATGTTTTAACCGTTCCATTGCTTATTAACTATTCTATGTCATCTTTTAATTCTTCCAAGTCTAGGAGATTTGATATGTATATCTTAGATTTCAAATGACCACAGAACCAGAAATCCATCGGGATAAGGACCAAGGATCGCGGTGGCCACGAAACTGCAAAGTTAGAGATGATTCTGCTTTCAAAAGTGCTGTAGCTGAATTTTCCAAACATATGGGGCGAAATGGGGAGGAACAACAACTTAACACATAATGAACACATAATGTCATTAACGACACTCCGCTGCTGCAATTCTGATGTTACTTTCGCCTATGTTGTCAACAATGACATCTTCCGCATTCAATGCGTAATCATCTGCCAAGGTGGGCGCGTTGAAAATTTGTAACCCCAAAATTAGTTTCCAACGTATGTAAGCTCGGCATCTAAGGGGCTCATTAGACAGACGAAACACATCTATGTGACTAAATTATTTAATTTAGCTATTCGTAGAATTACTTTAGTGGCTATTTACAAATGAAAAAATCTGATGTATGCACCATATGACTTCCTTGTATGGAATATTAAATTATGTGCATTTTTTCTTGCCTTTCATTTAAACTTATTGGATTGAATTAAATCTCCTTCGTCAATAGCGCATAAATCACAATAGAATAAAAGCACTCTTTAAAATTCACTGTATTTGTTTACCATAGCGACACTCTGGCGCTAGATTCACTTAACAGCGTTACATTTCGTTCATATTATAACTCAGAATGCATATAAATTTTATATCATTTGAATAATTATCTAATCGTTGTCACATGTTCTATTCAAATACTGTAATAAATATAAAACGATGTATAAAAGAAATTAAGCAAACAAAGCAAAAAAGAAACAGTTTTCACAGACGATTCAGTATTTCTCATTCAATTAATTCAGTTCTCACTTCCACACAAGGCAAAAATACATAAAAACTCAAAATATCTATATTAAAAATTACGAAGTAAATCTTAAACACTTATTTCCTCGAATAAATTCCAGAATGGACTAAACATGATTTAATTCGCAATAATAAAAGAAGGCGTTATCTTTGTTGTTGAGAAGCTTAGTTTCTCTAGATTGGCGACAAATCCGCTATTTTGCCAAGTTTGAAATGTAAACAACATGTTCGCCTTCGCAAAAATAATTAGGCTTAGCCTTACTTAAACAACTTTTAAATTGTTGATAACTCCACAAATATGGCATAGAGATTTACTAAAGGAATAAAAACCTTAACTGGAAGATAAGAACAGCATAATTCAATCATTTTTAAAGAGAAAAATGCACAATTTACAAACATATAAGAGTAAAAAAACTGAGATAACTGAGCCGGGTAACAGAGTGGCTATATATATACATACATATATACATATATACGTTATTATATACGTTTGGTGCGGCCGATTGCAACCAAAATACGAGGTGCACATCTACATGTTATAGCAATCCTATATACAAAATTTCAACGTTCTGAGGCTACTCGTTCTTGAGTTATGCGAGATACGTACGTACGTACAGACGCCTCGAAAAATTCTCTTCAGAATTAATTTTAAATCAGTTTTATAATTTTTGGAAGAAGAAAAGATTCTTTTATTCTGTCCCTTACGTACAGATGTCACGCAAAAACACGCAAATTATTTCAGCGACCTCTATGAATGTTTAATAGAGACTTACATTCTCTTTGTCATATGCTTATTCTCTGATCTAATGGAGTCTATGTAATGGAAATACATTGATTACAGAAACGTAAACGTCATTTCTCTATTCAATTAACATGTAATGTGTACATTTAATTAATTAATAAGTAATGTGGAGATGGTTTCGCTAAGAATGGTGATATTTAATTGTATTTGCTCAATCTAATTTCTCGTGCAGTGTTCTAAATTTCTCAAAATGATTATTTAAGCGTTAGCATGATGTTCTTATGAAACTGTTTTAAAAAATTGAAATCTATGTGTAATTAATGAATTCGTTAACAAAAACAGTGAAAACAGTTTTTTTCATTCTTAATTTTTATATAAAATCTGCGTAATTACAATACGCTATTTTTATATGTTATCTAATACTCGTAAAGCAGTAATATTTAAATAATAATATAGAATATCGAGTAATACCATTTAATTAATTTTAGGAATGATTAGAAGTATTTTTTAATTTATTCTTATATTTTTATAACGAAATTTTAAGGTTCCTGAGAAGTAGTAATAAGGAATGCTGTAATATTAAAGTCATCTAGCATTATATTTCGATTAAGTCTTGGATGCTGGAAATATATTTAGAAGTGCATCTCATTATTATTATTATTATTATTAGTAGTAGTAGTAATAACATGTTTTATTATCAAATTCCTTTTTTTAACTATTAGCAACCTTAAAACTGTAAGTTTGAATCAACTGACGTTCGTACATTTTAACTAAGAAAATATTCTTAGCATTTTTATAGTTAATTCTACATTATACCAAGAATATTTCACGCTCACATTGCTTCAGCATCATATCTCATGAATCTCATTTTTGAAACAGTTTCCTAATCTTCAGCATATATGATGGCAAATAATAAATGTGTTTCTATTTATCATCTGGTTTTATAACTAATGGACAACACATAATCTTTGCAGATTTATTTCAATGAAACGGAACTCACTTCTTTCTCCGATACGGATATAGCTTTCGATGGACTGGAAAATACTTTGACTAAGATCTCCATTTCAGGTTCCAAGTATGTAGCTCAATGGGAATGGTCCCAGCTACGCAATTTGCAACGAATCGAATCCATAGTGATCAACGCTACTTCCATGTATTCCACTGACCGGACGATTCTTGTGCCGAATGTAATTAAGCTATTTGTTACTCAGTCAGAGGTCTCCTTCATTTACGATAAAGCATTTCAGGCCCTGAATAGAGCATTATATATATCTCTAAGTGGAAACAACATACACGAATTAAAAAGAAGCATGTTCCCCAAGCCCTGCATACTTCAAGTATTGGACTTAAGGTAAAATCAGTCTCGTATGTTAGATTTTCCATTGTTTTATTCAGTATCAAGAGGGAAATTTTATTTCTGTCATAGTTGCAACTTGTAATTCAGTCTAAAAATAGTATTTTTCCAGTTTATTCAAAATCTCTTACTTTATTAATATGCTATATTTTATATGTATATAACGCATCTTATTCAATATAAGATTGAACATAATGATTTTGCTGAATGGAGAACGAAACTTACTGCTGCCTCTTGAGCGAACTTTTTTACTTCCCCGTACGAAGTAAAGGAAGTTTTGTGATCCCAAAAACTTCTGGGTATCATATTTCAACGAAAATATCCATTTTGACCGCTATCGAATGAAATTTAACGATGTTTTTGCCTGACATCTGTACCTAAAGACAGAACAAAGAACTCTTTTTCTCAAAACCGATAACAAAATATCCATTTTTAACCCGATTATAAAATATCCCATAAAACGGATTCACAAGAGTTTTTTTTTTTTTTTTCGAAACATCTGTACCGTCCGTACGTATATATGTATCTCGTATAACTCAAAAATGAGTAGCCTCAGAAGGTTGAAGTTTCGTATATAGAACTGCTATAACACATACAGAAGTGGACTTCCCTTTTCGGTTCAAATCGGTCTCAGCAAAAGCAAAAAGTATCTATAGGAATTATTATTGATAACAAATTAAATTTTGCGGAACATTTTAAGCATATACATAGAATCACAGATAACATTTTAAAATGTTATAAATGTAATTTTAGCGCTAATACTTTGAACAGAAAGAGTTCCACCGTGAGAGAGATATTTAGAAATGTGGTCATCCGTAATATATTATGTGGAGTCGGAGCTTGAGGCTGCCAGGTAGAGGAGGTACTTAGAATGAAACTGGACGCTTTGCACAGAGGAAGTAAGAAGACGTTGACAAAACTAATATGGACGAATCACCATCTTTATTTTTTGGCACTTCAAAATGATGTCTTTGTAGACTATCTGCTTTTTGATCATAAACAATTGCAATAATTTTTATATACACGTTACGTCATCTTTGATTAAAAATAAAGGAGAGCATAGCAGCATAGAGATGTTTGCATGGCAAATGTCAGGAAAACGAATGACGTAGTTGCTTGCGAAGCAGCATTTATACTAAGTTAGGCGCATAAGTATAAATAATCTGCGATTGGTAAATTGTTATGCAACGTAGAAAGATCTCGAATTTGGAAGAATAGATGAACTTAGGGGAGAGAATATCAAATTTAGAATAGTCCGTTTTGAGGTTGCCGATTATTTGGATGCATATCCATCGTATTTTATTTAATGAAAGCACACCATATATGATATATAATTTTCAGAAGGATGAACTTGAAAATACTATTTTACAGAAATGAAATTGAGAAATAAATGTTCCATTGAGGTTAGTAGCACGTAATACAATCCTGTCGGGCTAAAAATGTAATAAAAGCACAATTTTAGAAGCACTGATGTAGGAACACTCAGATGTAGAAACGCAGAAATACTGATGGTGTAGATACTTGATGCTTAGGGTGTCCATCCATTTTGAAGAAGAAGCAGTCGAGCCGGATTAAATTCCACATTTTATTTAAAATCACATTTGTGGTCACAATTCACTTGGCACTCCAATCGCGCTTATTTCCAGAACATTTACAATTTTGCTGCTATGATCGCTTCTATCGCCATAGTATCAAAATTGTAAATGTTCTAGAAATAGGTACGATTGGAATGCCACGTGAATTGTGGCCAAAAATGTGAATTTAAATAAAATATGAAATTTAATCTGCCTCGACTGCTTCATCTTCAAAATGGTTTATTTATATTTAATAATTCCGAGAAGCATACTAGAAGAGAAATCAGCTTGCAGTCGTCGTGGCTGAGAGTGAAGACTTACAGATGAAGGGAACAAAACATGAACTTGACGAATTTTCAGTCTTTATTTCCACTCATATAAAATCAACTGAGTAGATATTTATTCAATCTTAATGAAATCCGAGACATTTCTATGGTTCAATCATAATGAAGTATGATAAATTGCCCTGTACATTGATTCTTAAAATTAAGAGGCAGGCAGCAAAAGCAAAGCGAGGAACTATTAGCAAGGTAGAAGCTAGCAGAATTGACGTAATCTGAATCTGAATCTATCATCTTTCGATCAGGCGTCGATTTCCTAGAATCATTTACCAGTAATTCAGCGTAGTTTCCTATGGCCTTTCGCGTTAATTTAGATACCTAATGATGTTTAAAAAACACTAACAGCCGGAGGCGAGAAGCAGATATGAGGAGTCATTCGTTCCACGTTGAAAAGCAATCCGATCGAAATGGCAAATCGCATACGATCGATGAACCATTACGAGAATGGCATAACCAGCAATTATATATACATGTAAAGCAATCATTTTAAGGGCATATCAGCGCATAATTCATAATTGTAGGTCCAACCATTCGTAGAGGCAATTGGCATAAATAAGGATAAGCAGCGAGAAGCAATGAAGTCTGTAAGGCATAAGGATAAGCAGTGCGAAGAAATTTGAAGTCCGTAATAGGAATCAAAGACAGATCTCACAAAAAAATAACGTCTGAATCCATTTTAAATCCATTTACAATATGCTTTGGAAAAAGATGTTCCTTTATTCTATCCGTGCACACAAATGTCACTCAAAAGCATCGTTCAAATGGATTCGAGAGCACTCAAAATGGATATATTCGTTGAAATATGATACCGGAAATTTTTAGCGATTACAATACTTTCTTTACTTCGTACAAAGAAGTAATAAATAATATTAAATAAATATTAAACGAAGATGAATCATTTCCTTATTTTATAACATTCACTTTCACAAGATTGCCACCAAACCCTCTTTCGTTTACAAATGACTGCTTTTCCCTCGATAACAGCATTCTGTAGTGTTGCGTTACTCTCACTATTAGCCAACTTGCGTCTGTTTGTTTCTGTCGCAAGTCTGCGTCTGTGTAGCCTTTCGGCTAACTTAAGTTAACTTGGTCGTTATTTAAAATTTGTTATTTTTGATTTAAGCCATAAATGCTGGCTGTTCTGTAAGCGCCTTCTGTTAATTTTTATTTGAGTTAAATAAAAGGAACTTTTTCATCCTTCTCAGTCTCTATGGTAATTTACAAAACATAGTCGTAAGTCATTTTAGGTCTTAGAGTTCTCGTCTATGCTACCAAAGAAGACGAAATTCCAGAATTATATATATTTTTTAATATGGCTTAATTAAATAATCCAACACTTGTAAGGATCTTGAGTTTTACTAACGTTTATTTTATTTTAAATCTTTACTATCACTTCTCATTTTCTACTTCCGGCCAGAATTATAAGCATTAAAGTATTTATGCAAAGTTTGTCTGGCGAACGCCAAGTACTTAAGTTGTGGCTTTTTGCCAAGCGAGAGAGAGGAAGCAGTTAGTCGAAGCAGGCCGCTTACCTTAGAAGTTTACTCAGTTGCTGGTTGCCTTCCAGGCTAGAGGTTTTAATCCTCTTGATAATTTTTAAACGTATTGTAGTGTTCACAGTTCTCTGTACTACATACGCTTCCTGTTAATATAAGGCCAATCTTCCACGTTATTATTTCAAAGTTAAGTTAGCGTTTAGTTATATTTTTTATACTTTTACGTTTTGACCCCAAGTAGCGGGTCTGTGTATTTCCGAAGTACGGAAGTTATTGTAAATAGAGAAAATAAAGGGTTTTGTATACCCTTCTTGTGTATCCTGTTCACTTCCCACAGTTTTGAACATAGCTTTAGTAAGCTCTCTGTTCCGAGTCAGGGCCTTGCATGTTGCAAGAAGGTAAGACGGAACATTGAACCTGATACACTTATTAAAATACATACATAGAAAATATAATATCAATGTAAATAGCAAAAACTAAGTATAAAAATGAATCCTGGTTTATAGTATTATTTTTCTCAATGCTAGTCATCTGCGTTTTCAACAACCTAAAATAGTTATTACAAAAAAGAAATATATATATATATATAATGATTTTAGCGAGATTACACGGGTCTGGCTAGTAGTTAATAATAAATCGCTTATCTTGTTAATAAACAACAGGCAGATTAAATTTAAAAGAAAAATTATATACCTTACTCGTTGCGGTGTCACAAGCCACTATGGCGTGGAAGACGAAATAGTTTTATTTCAGGGGTTGGCAAAAAGCATTTCTGTTAGAGCGCTGAGTTTTGTGATTAAATTTGAAACATGAATATGCTACGTTTTGCTATGTGGCAGCCCATTTCTTTTAAATCGCAGAGTTTCTTAAAAAATAAAAAATATAAATATCTTACATTTTGCGAATGGCACCACATTACTTTAAAATCGTCGAGTTTGTTGATAAAAATATCATTAAATTCGCACAAAATATAAAATGAATAAAAAACAAATTCGAAATTAAATTTTGGGCTTCGAAGTGCACATATTCAGGAGAAGCACTATATGTACTGAAAATTTGATGGTTGTATGTACTGTCTTTTTTCTATAATGCGAGGAAGATACATACATAGTACATATATACTCTTCATTATTTAATAACAGTAGTTTAAGTAGTCTTTAAATACATTACTCACTGAAAAATATGGATACTTTTATTGAGCATAAATGAAATTATTATAGTATTTAGGGTGATATTTCAGATGATTTCACTGTATGAGCAATATATTTATTTCTAAAATATTTCCATGCAAAACACATGTTTATTTTTTACTAATATACCTCAACTTTCGCGCACAAATAGTTTAGATGTGACCTCGAAATATGAAAGAAAATGCAGGAAAACATTATTCCTTATTTATTTTCGTTTTAAATTGTTTTTACAGCAACTCTCTGCTTCTCTCATAAAGAGCATGTAATAGATAACATATAATAAATAAAAATATATAACTGTCGCATTATTTTAGCTATATTTTAGATTTGAAATTTCAATTTTTCTCCACATTAATTTCATTTTTGGACTACAAAACATACCTGACAAAAGAACTAAATGTGCGTATTGAGAAGTGACTCAAGAATATGGGTGTATTTTTTTATCAAAAGAGGAAAATATTATTATCTAAATTTCTTTATAATTTCTTAGTTCGGTCCGAGGTTCGAATCCC